CTTCCTAGTGTTTATACTTGGATGATGACCCCCTCCTGCCCCGAAATGAGGCTTCCTGACTATCTTAATACATTGCGTTCACTTATGTATATATATATATATATATATATATATATATATATATATGTACTCTTAGTCTTTTCTTTATCTGAACCGAAAGTCACGCCGGATGTTGACATGTTAACTGAGAAGCGGATCCCCAATCGCACAAAAACGTCTCCCCAGTCATATAATTCTGCTTTCCCACTGATACCCATAATAACAGTGATTTCCCACTAAAAGCAATGAACTTTTTGGAACTGTGCGGTCTGTTTGTCGAATGGCACGGATAAGCCGAGTGCGGGGCCGTGCCATGGCCCGCCGGTAGCTAGCAATTCGTCTAACAGCTGAACCACTCAGGCACCAACCAGATATCTACCCGACTCCTATATCGTCATTTTGTGCATGCCCTAGTCCGGTTGATCCAAATGCATGTTTTATGTCATTGACCGCATTAGCTGGTTTGCCATTATTCCTCCATTGCAAACTACCTTCAACGGAAAAGAAAAAGATAAGCCTGTGATGCGAACCATTGGTGCTTCAGACATACAAGGACACGTGCCAGCAACGACATTTGATAACGATCTCCGCGCAAACTGTCCATCGTGACGTCATTTGCGTTTGGTGGATGTTTTGGTGGGGTCTGAGCCGGACATCCGGCACTCATATGCTTAGCACAGTGTCGATTCGCGGAGAATGGCCGGCCGTCGAGAGATACTTGGATACAACTCCCCACGACAAACAACACATAACTCATCCTATTTTGAAGATTCGAGGAGGCATTACTCGGCTAAAAGTTACGTCTGGACCAGCCGCTGGGCTTCCATCTGGGGCTCCCCTTCAGTATGACGTTTTAATGGGGCCTGCACCCACTGCACAGCGCATCCCACCTAATTCAAAAGTGTTATTGAACGATAGTCCTAGCACTCACAGCTTAATACGAACCCTTTGAATGGACTGATTTCTGAGATCAGAGCTCCCGCGTTAACCATGTTTTTTGTGAACCCTTATCCCTCCCATTCGATCGTGAAAGTCCAGGTCAACGGCAGAATTAAGTGGCGTAAATTCAACGTGCCGCGATGCTTAACCCGGTCCGTCATAAACTCTGACGTCACCGGACCGTTTGCGCAGCCGCTGCCACCGACCACAGGCGAGGCCAGCCAAGGTCAAATAGCGAGCGTCCAACCAGACTCGAACTCACTCCTCCACAGGTGGAGGGATCGGAATACACATGCTCTATGCGATCGAGCTATCGAAGCGGACCGATGACCGGGTCAACTCTCCGAACTAGTGTTATTCACACGGATCAGCGGTCAGACCATTTGGCCAGGTCGGCCATTTTCGGTACGTGTTGTTAAGGCGCGCCGGCGGCTCTGAACAGGCCGTGTAAAGCTGTATTGGTTCCTTCCACAAATAGACTATATCAGCACACGGCAAAGAACTCACATCGTGTTATGGTGACCATGGCGAAACAAATTGCATGTCATATTTGCCTTTCATCAGCGCCGTATAAAGTGTCTGTATTACTGGAAGGGAGTGTTCCGCATTTATATGGGGGTTTCAACTGAAATGGACATCTCGAAGACCTTGCAGTGCTGTTCATAATCCTGTCCTTAAAACCTTAGTCCCTCCAATTTCTGAGCTATACGCCCGCTAAAATGGAGAAAGGTATATTGGGGAGAATATGCTAAGGTCACATTGGCATTCATAACGTCATAATAACGTCACTCAAATCCTGTCATCCAATAACCCATGCGGCGATCAATGCCAAGACAAATATAATTGTCGAGGAGTTCCTATCTGGCGTTCGTGAGCGCGATGTCCAGAAAAAATGGCCGTCAACTTGCTCTCATTCAATGTCATGCAAGGTAGGATGGTGTAATCAAACCATGGCGCATTCAAAACAATATTTACTAAACAGAGAATGGTGCTGTCTGGAGCAGCCTTTTCCACTTAAAAGTATACCAATACCTATAACTGAGCTTGATTCGTCATGTCTGATGCGTGCCTTAACATCTTTAAACATGAGACACTCCGTTTAAGAGTAGATTTTCACTTGCCGGCTGGAGCACCGCCCAACCTACTGATGGCAACGCGCTGGTACGCGCGTGTGTGGGATAGGCGAAATTTGCTGGTGGCCGATCGTTTGGCGCCATTTTTCGGTTATTAGCCGCCGTCTGTGCACTGTGACGGTTTCCGCGGCCCGACCCAACAGCTGTTTGGTGGAGTTGTAATGCTTTCAGTGCTTTCGAGCACTACTGTGACCCCAGACGTTCTACATGTGCCTATCTGGACCGCAGTCGTTACCCCTCCCCCGTGATACATCATTCGCCAGCCGGCGAACGGCGCGCGGGATCCACGCTTATGTTCTCATTCACCGCTTCACCCTTAATCACTGGCAGCCGCATGTCTTGGAACAAGCAAGCTACGGCCTTTAGCAGTTCACCTCTTTAAGTGCAACTATGGTAGGAGCCCCGGCCCAGCGCCAACATATACCCAAAAGAAGGGCTCCTGCACGGGGTACGTCTTCGTGGCGGACTCCCAGATGGCTGCAGTCTCGCCTGACACTTGCTTCCATCCTTCATCCCTCAACGATGGACTGGCTTTGGCTGGACGATGGCACTCTAAACTCAAACACACCAAGCCAAACAGCTTGCAGGCAGAGTAACGGGGTGTAATGAGGACTGAACACGGCAACACAGGTTCAAGCATCCAGTAATCTTCTATGCCAGGTGCTCGCTGACTGTGAATAGCTTCGTTCGTTTGCGACACCAATGCAACCTTGTGTGTGTTTTCGACTTTACTGCCGTTCAACCAACCGATCACGAACACGCTCTGTTCGCAATCAGCTTACGAACTGTTCATGAACGCAAGCACTTTATTTGTATGGTACAACGGGGTTAATACACCAATTTTACGTTATCTCTTGTTTGTTTATTTTTCTATCAAAGTTATCCCCCTTTATTTTGCCAGCTTTTAGTAGAACTTCACAAAATGCGGCTAATTTATCATTGTCTACTTTAAAAGGAGGGTGTGACCCGAGTTCACCCAAACATTTCTTTTGACTATCATGCTCCCAGAAGTCTACGTCGCATATCTTCCAGCTTCCAGTATAGTTTCGCGTATTGTGACTAGGGAAATAGGTGAGGAAAAATCATTTGGGACTTAGCGAATTTTTAGAACTGTGGAACACGAAAACGGGTGAAGTAGTTCGCCAGCGAGCACTCAGCCTGAACGGCGGTCGACCCAATAGAGAGCCAGGAGAAGGAAAACGACGGCTTCCAGTCAGCTGCCGTTACTGAAAGCTTATGGAACTGTGGTTGCGTCTGTTTGTTCTCGTTTGTGATGTTTTGTACGCTGGTCAGCCCGCTGGAGGGCCGGAGGAGGGAAAATAGTGGCTTTTAGACGGCTGCCGTAGCTGAGATCTGACGAAGCTGTGTTCATGTTCGTTTGCTCTCGTTCGTGAGAACCGGCAATATACAGAGTCGTTTGCTACGCTTTTTTGTCCACGCAGTTTTTGCAAGTTTTCTAGCCGTCGCTAAACTGGCGCTCAGCTCAGCGATTTGCCTGGCCGTTTGGGAGTCCCAGGCATTGGTGAGTGCGCGCACGATACGCACAGCAATACCAATGCCGTCAGATCGGCAGAAGTGAGTGGAGGGAAAGGTTCAGACGCTAAGAACATGGCATCACGATACCCAAACTTGATGATCGTAGGCCATTGCTGTTCCGCGACGGCGTCCCCATCTCTGTAAGATGCCGCGTCTGGTGAGCTCAAGAAATTGTGCCATACGCGCAGCCAGCCGACGTCGATGCAACCCAATGCTACGGCCGTGAAATGAACACGATCCGTCAACAACTTCAGTGACAACATCGAGTCAAGAAATTTCCGCGCGCCGGACAAATGATGATTACAGCTTTCGGGAGAGTAGACATTTCCAGAGCTAAATAAAGGGTGTTGGGCAAACAGACAATCGAGCGGGTCTCTGTGCCAACAGGCTGGGACCCGATGCATCTTCACAGTCGCTAGGGTTGTCGCAGTAGCCGTAACACCTTTCTCCCGAGGCGTTTTTGTCCTGTCATGTTTCTTATGAGTTATTCGCGCTGGACCACACCATTGAACGTAATATGACAGCTTGCTTCATGACGGCACAAAGACGTTTCCGAAGTAAAGTTTACCGACCATTTTGATAAGCCCGACTACAGACAAAGGCTTTGTCCTTGTGCTATTTTCTGAGTATTTCATATTTTGTGCCAACTTAGATCCCTTTTCAATGATGGTAGCTTGAAAGGGGCTGCTGAGACACGGCTGTTAAGATTTCTTTAGATAGGTATTCTGCACATGCTTGCCATCTATACCTTATAATAATGGTCTGAATTGATTTATTCCCTGCCCTAGACCACCTTGTTCTTGTTGCCATGACAACCACAGTTGCAATGCAGCGTTCATGCTACAAACCTGCGCTTTTCCGTTGAATCAGTCCCCTCTGAATGAGCAGAAAACGTCCTGGTCTATACGTTTGTTGATTCACTGAATTTCATTCCTGTGAGAAGAAATATTACGAAAATACTCTAGCTTTCGGCTTAACTTCTCTTTTAAGCCAAAGCTTACCTTCGCTTTCACAAATCTTTATGAAACTTGGCACAAGTTTGAAATTTTGACAGCATCGAAACGTGATCTCGCGTTGGTGACACTCGTCGCAACTCCAACCACGTTGATTCGACTCTCGCTTCGAACACCACTGTTTTATTCAGCATCAATCAGAATCAGCCCCGTAAATATACTCAAACCAGCGGCCTATCGCAGCACCATCTGGGAGAAAGTTGAATTTGAATCATGGCGTGGCCATGACTAAGCTGAAATCTAAACCGATATCATCCACGTGGAGCAGAGTCAAGCGCAGACATGACACTCATCCAGATCAGTTGATGCTGTACGCAGTATTCTGCCGTCATGCACTCACCCTGGCTCCGTTGATGTACCAGGTCAAGGTGGCAGCAGGCCTTGACCTGTATGACGTACAGTTGATCCGGACGTGGTCGCCCTCTTCCATGCTGCTCCTGTATTCGCCAGTGATCTCGGGACCACTCTGCGGCACCTCTGTTGGGGGCAAATAAATAGAAAATGCATTTAAGGTGTGACAGCGCAAATGGGGCGATCCTGACGGCATTTGTCATAAGCGGATCGTTGCAATCGAACCTGATAGGATTGCGCCATATGTCCCCATTTCATGTGCGGTTTTATCGGCCCATGAATGGTTATGGCCCACTCCGAATGGTTTGTTGCCACTGTAAATTATCCGCAGCCGCGTAATATGTCCGAAGCATCGTCATGTTACTGGCAGCAATATGAGCTTGTGTGATTGGAACAACCTAGCGTGAACTACATTACGCTCAACAGCGACCCATATGTCAACGTCAGTTGCGAACTGCCGCATGGTAAATGGACTCGGTCACCGTGCAACCCGGTGGCCTGTGGCGTGCCAGTGACGTCGTGGCAGTGCAGACAGGCCGAGACTGACCGACCGCCGGCGTCTGGACTGGCGTCTAGGAGGCGGCGCACCACAAGGCTGGGACATTACTGCAATGAGACAGCAGCTACGCCTCGGCCTAAAATTCTGTTCTTGTGCGAAAGTATACGCATACAATGCATTTTTAACGTAGGGATTTGTTTCGATGTTGAGGGGTTTATCATCTATGCTCTTAATTCGCTTTGGAGAACATGTATTGCTAGTCTGTTTTTATCCAGATAGTTTTGAAGTCATGAGGTCGTTACGCCGATGTAAAGCATTGCAAATAACAACAGATAGATGGGCTTAAACCATAACAACACTTAGTGATGCGCTCTTTAAGGATTCGTAGGCTGGTGGCACTGTTATCTAGTGGTGACATGGTGGTTGAATTGAGTGCCAATAGATGGCACCCAGTCAAAATATGGCAGAAAATGTCGGCCAAATGTCAATGGTAGTGTTAGTTCTCCCACCGTGCCTTTTTTCACGAGAATGGCTTCGGAATTTCTCCTATCAGCCCCGCCCTTGCGGCTGTGTGGACAGCTTACGTGCGTATGAGTGGTGAACGACGCGTTTAGATGAGTGACAGAGGAGTGGTCGCAGAGTGGGATACCTGCGGCACTGGTTTTAGTAACAGATGCTCATCAAAGCATCGCAAAGTTTTCGAAGCCTTCTTTATAAAAAACACCAATATCAACGTCCCAATATCAACCCGCCATTGTTAGCTAACCCAGACAGCACCATCTATTGGCACTCCATTCAACCACCATGTCACCACCAGACTGCAGCACCGGCGTTAACTTGGCGGGACGTTTTAAGCCGCCAGTCCAGCGCCGTCAGTGGGAAAGGTAGGTTAGGTGTGTCGCTTCATTTTCCCTCTTGTTCTCTTTCCCATCTCTGCCCACCTGCAGGTGGCGAACTGCAAACAAGCCCAACAACTCTGTGTTCAACATTCCTTAGTCTGGACCTTTCGAATGGATGGATTTCAGGGACCAGATCTCGCACTAAGCAGCGTTTGTTGTGCGAACCCTGCCCGCTATGGATCCATCAAGCCAGCCAACGTGGTGAGCGGTAGCCGAATTCACAAATGCTAGATTTGTCCGATCGTGCGACCCCTGTCGTTTGAATCAGCACGATCGGCCTGGTTGGTTCCATACGTATTTTGGGAGAAGGGTGTCGTTAAGCGCCTTCCCTGCATCAGGTGAAGGTGGCAAATCCGGTGCGAATGCTGGGTGAAACAGCAGGTTGTGCAGGTTCGGAAACAGCAGTATGTTGGGTTTCTCCCAAATGGGCTCCTAGTCATGAAGTGCCTCCTAGTCAAGCCTGAAGTGTCTCCTAATTATGGCTACGTGTGAACAATACCGTTCGCTGCCACCTGCATGAGCGCAAAAGTAAGCACGAGAAGGAACCGTATCAGCCATAGCGCGCTGTCCAGATGGGTTCTCGCAGTTCCGCTTAAAACGCGACGCCCCTCCACCTGAAGTGGACTCACCCACAACCGTGACGTTTCCGGTGCCGATGACGGTGTCGAACGACCCGTCGACCGTGACCTCACAGACGTACTGGCCCTCGGTGGCCAGGTCAACGCTGTCCAGTATGACGTGTTTGGCGCCGGAAAGCGGTTCCTGAAAAGGATTCCGTGCGCCCGATTTGAGGCCAGCCGCCTCCGCCGGCGGTGTCGACGCTGGTCACGTGTGCAGCAGGCGCCACGCCACGTCGGGTCATGACAGCCGCTTCTGTTGCCAACATCATGTAAGGAAGTTCCCCGACTGACGATGTATTCTGGGAACTACTTTGACTCGACATGGGCTCAGGAAAAAACGACATTGACGAAAGCCGAAACGCATTAAAGTTGGAAGCTGCTCTTGAATGTTTTACCCGAAGAAAATTGACGATGCCGGCGCAAGCTCATCGAAACTCTGATCGGCTTCCCTTTCAACTTACACTGATTGGCCTGGATCACTCACATTGACTTTGACCCCGGAGATGTGGAAGGTCCGACCAGGCCTTCCCGGGGCGTAGCTGTAGAACTCCCGGTAGTCCTTGTACCACTTGACCTGGTATATCCGACCGTCCTCCGGATCGTAGTCGCACGTCAGGTTCATCGGGTGCCCCCGAATGACGTGAGTGGGGAAAGTTTATCTTGTTCATCCTCAAGGCCAGTACACCTGTAGGACACAGAAGAGCTGTCCTCAGTGGGGCAGGCAGGGGAGGGGGCACAAGTGGTACGTGGCCCCTTAGACCCCGAGAGGTTCCGAGGGTCCCTCAGGATCGACGATTTGATGGCCCGAAGAGCCCGAAGATTGAGGGCCGGAAGGTCGTATAAGGGGTCTTGTCCATGCGGGTAGGGTCCTCAAATGTCTGTCAGGGGGGCCTTTGCGCCGAATGGCTCCCCTGAACCGATGACGGCCTCTGTGTCGGTCATACACCACCAGAACCGAACACTGGGCTCCATGTCGGTTTAAGCCTGAGTGCCCATTTTACGAGGCATGAGGGCCGATCAATGGACAAGGCTGGGGATCCCAACTTACATTGCCAATGTCAATGGCCCCAGAGTCAATGAGGATCCCGAGTTGGCCAGGGACAATGCCCGAGGGGGCTCGAATAGCGGGCTGATGGACCCTTCGGGATCAACGATCAGGCGCCCGATTGGTCTGAAGGACTGGCTATATGTCACATTAACGACCCCGCCCCGCAGGGCCGTGACTTCAAATGTCAGTCGGAGGGCTTCTACCACCTGCGAGAACCCTCTGGGATAATGCGGGTCTTTATTTCTGCCCAAAACTTGCAACATCGAACAGTTGGCCTCGTTCCGATCTGAGGCCTGGGGGTCATCTTCCGAGCAGGAAAAGGTCGGGCCCGCGGTTTGCATTGGCCTAGATTACCCCTTATGTGCAGCAATGAGTGCCCCTTGTCGGTCCGGGTCCATAGTGACCAACAGGCGGCCCTGTGTTGGCAGGCGGCTCTGATTCGGCCGAATATGGACAATAATGCATTTGGAAAGATATTTATTAAACGGGAAAATTGTGTTGCCTAGAACAGTCTTTTCCGCTTAAAAGTATACCAAAAGTTATAATAGAGCTAACGTCATCAAACCTGATGCTTGCTTCAGTATCTGCGAATGTGGATCATTTCCTTTAAATAAGTTAAAACTATAAATGAAGCAATGAAAAGCGTGCAACCTTGAAACCAAGTGAGCAAAATGCGTTTTATTTGTTGGTTGGTATTGATTTTGGTTTGGTTTGGTTTGGTTTGGATTGGTTGGTAACTATCACCAGGACCCTCTTCATGTGACCACTAATACACTCACACAAATTAGTGAATCCGACGTGATTTGTCTTGATTTTTTGTTTTAATTTTTGGTAATGTTCTTACTTTGCCTGAAACTGACCCTGAACTGCCCACAACATGACGCCGCTCTGCTCGGTGATGACGATGAACGCCTTTGGCGGGGCATCGCGTTTGCTGTTCCCTGATCGCCATGTGTCTGTTAAACCACCCGCATTCATGGGGTGCGCTGGACAGAGCCGACTTGTATTCATGGCCGTCCAGGTTTACGTTGCTTCCATCACCTGCGACCACAAAAAGTTCAACCATGCTCTGGCATCGCTTCCACCTCAGACCACCTCCAAGCTGGACGCTGCTGCCCTGGCGTTCAAGAGCTTTGCCACTCTCCACGGAGCAGCGTTCGGCCTCTACAAGGGGAGCAGGCCTGAGCTGTTTGATTAGCTGATCTCTAAAGCGAAGCTGACTCTCCGCCACCCTATGTTCGCTGGAGAGCTACAGGTCTTAACCAGCAAGGTTGAAATGGGGTGCGCCCTCTTACGGCACAAGTCATCCAATCACTGCCTGCCGCTGTGGGTGCTCTGATTGCGGCCCAGCGTGCCCCAACCCTTCAGCGGCTAGGCCAGCTGGCAAATGAACTCGTGCCTCTATTGCATACCGGTTTCGCGGCCAGTCCATTCAAGCCCAGCAGCAGCAGCCAGGCCTATCAGGCAACAGTCGAGCAGCCTGCAGTCACAGCAGAGGAGCCCCATGCCGAGGAGCAACAGCATAACTCACCATTGGAGACCTCAGCAGCAGAGGTCGGACTCCACGAGAGCTTCAGTCATTTCATGAGGGTCAGAGGCTGCAGGCATTTAGTGCTCAGCTGTGCTTTGGGAGCCAGGTTCTTGCCCTAGTCGTGATTTACATAATCAGCCAAGCTCGAGGATGTGAAAATGCAGACATCATCAAGGTTATCATCCCCCGCCGGACGGGGAATATGAGGGTAGGTGCATGTCTGTGACACATGGCATGTCGCTTCTTGCAGTCGCAGCCCTGGTCAGAGTCTAGAAACTAAAATTTGCCATGGACATATACGCAGGAGTGTCTGCTTCGTCAGGCGTTAACGGTTCTACACTCCAGTCCTCTGCTGTATCACCACTGCCAGTAGTACAATTATTCATGCCTACTGTGAAGCCTCATTGTCCGTGGCTATCCCATCTCTCCAACGTTCCTTTCCATCTGCCTTCGTTGTTCCTGATGCCACTTTCCCTGCTTGGCAAAGACTTTCTGTTACGGCATCGCCTTATTGTCAACTGTGGATCTCAGGCCCTCTTCGACTCCATGGAATCTCCTTGTTCATCAGGTGCTTTCATGGAGCACCTGATGTCACTGATGTACCATCACACCATCTCCGCCGAGGGTCTCCGCCCCCCTCCCCCCTCTGACTTCAAGATTACCGAGCTCGCGGATCTGCCGCCGCCACTGGACTCCCCGTGTCCGCGCCACTTCCTAGGGATGGTCAGGTACTACCCGAGGATGATCTCGCACTTCGCCAAAGTCGTGCATTCGTTGAAGGAGGTCTGATAGAAAGAGCTGGTCTGATAGAAAGCGCCGGCCTCACTCGAGTGCTTGAGCCAACCACCCATCATTTCGAACGTGCTCATTGTGGGACGATGAGACGGAACAGGAGGAGTGTCCTCCATTTCCAGCAGAAATGTAGGGTGCATTGGCAAGAACTAAGAGGAAAATTCTGCTGGAAGGCTGACATAGTGTTCTCCAAAGCATTCTTCGGGCCATCACGCCACCACAAAAAATGTCTTGAAGAAATAAAGTTTAATATATATATATATATATATATATATATATATATATATATATATAAGGATGCATTTATAGTAGATCAGAAAGTAATTTGCACTCAACATTTCTATTGTCAGTCAGTGACCCTATTCAATCTGTTTTCTATCTGAGCTCTTCTGAAAAAGGTTGGCGGTAACGGGATTTGATCCAAGGCCTGAACATCGCGGCGTGTGCATAGGTCTGCACATTGCATGGTAGCTCAAAAATCAGTGCTCTGGCGCACACTTTGACCCTGAAGATTGAAACAGCATTGTTCAAGCTTCAGTTCTATTTGCTTTTTATGCACATATGCATCCAAGACTTACAAAGTCGAGCCACTGAAAAAAAGACATTTTAACATGGGACTCTGAGGCTGGTCGTGAAATGTGTGCCGCTGCCGCCGCATGTTATAATCGACTTCGGACCACCGTGCTGGCTAGTGCGCATTGGACAGCGTCTTTTTGAGCCAGGCCAGAGTGTTCGCCTTACAGTCAGCACTATTTGGTGTTTAAGTGATGCCCCAGTCGGCGAAGACTAGACGCAAGAAGTGTCAAGCGGCGAACCCGTGTCACCTGGAGGTAGGTCGATATGATCCAGGCGAAACAAGCTTGATGTTCACCGATTAAGATTGTTTCTTAACTGCATAGTGTGCGAAGGGTAGGTGCGTAGGTTAGGAGTAATTTCATATACCGTGTCGTCGTCACGCACTCCATGCAAGAAATATGCGGGCAAAGGGGCTTCTGTTTTGCGCGCTGGCAGAAGGTGGAGACTCTTCTGTTTTTTGCGCCCTCTATAATGCTGATTGGAGGAGAAGGTAAAGACACTTCTGGTGTATCTGCTATGTCAGCCAGGCTACGTCTTCCAGGCAGTGGAAGATGGTACCAGTCAAAGGCGCTGGTCATCGCCGAGTCGACCTTGCACGTCGAACGTTGCCCTGCCCTCACGATACCGCCTGAGGTGACGGCAAGCGACAAACTCCTCCCCCGGGCCGCCTCGTTCCCCGTCTTCGATCAGAAGGTCATGTTGACAAGTGCCCACAATGAACTTATCCTCATCAACGAGGAGGTGTTCCAGAAGGCAAATCGGCAAGTGCATGTGTAACAGATGCATGGACAGGATGGACAAGCTGGGGCCCACATCCTGTCTGGAACACCGGGTGAGCTCGAATTGAGCTGTAGATCGTGTGAGCTGCGATTTGCAGGCGGGTGATAGTCTCCAAGAAATGACATCCGGCCCGTTTTTCCTCTTTCCGGCTTCGGTTTTCTCATGTGTACATGGTAACACTCAACATGTCACCTCTGTACGCCTGTCAGTAAAGATGCGTTGCACCATGTCATTCAGTGAACGCTCCATTGAATAAACGGCAACCGTGTCGAACTGTGTTTTTCGGTGTTGAGCTGAATGGAGCAATCCGACAATCATAAGCTGCAAAAATAGTTGACCCATGAACTCAGTACCGGGCGTTCTATATATATATAGAACGCCCGAACGATATATATAATAAATATAATATATATATATAATGTGGCGGTTTGTGTGTGTGTGTGTGGGTTTGTGTGTTGTGTGTGTTGTTTGGTGTGTGTGTGGTGTGTGTGTGTGTGTGTGTGTGTGTGTGTGTGTGTGTGTGTGTGTGTGTGTGTGTGTGTGTGTGTGTGTGTGTGTGTGTGTGTGTGTGTGTGTGTGTGTGTGTGTGTGTGTGTGTGTGTGTGTGTGTGTGTGTGTCTATGTGTGTGTGTGTGTTTGTGTATGTATGTATATCATCAATGGTTTGGCACACGTGGCACATGCATACCTAACCTGTTCATAATGCAATTCGTGACACGTGTGATGTTGCAATGGGTGGCAACGCAATTAACAATAGGATTCGTGCCGTCGTGGAGATTTGCAGTGTTGACTGTTCGTAAGGCCGTAGGAGGTTACTTTCCTTCTTTCAATGTTGTGCTCGGAGGACCAAAATACAATTTGGAGACAGGAATGGGATGTCCTGTATGCTAAAGTTGCATCGTCACATACTAATCTATGATCGATTTCCGTCGGTAAGCACTTAATCGTTCACTTGTGG